GCCCCTTCCCCGCCAAGCCAACTTTTGCAGGGGGGAAGCAGACCAGGGTCCGGGGAGGCCCGGCAAATCCCGCCACTTATTGGGTCGGGGGGGCGGCAGGGCGCCGCGAAGGCGGGTGACTGAAAGAGGTCATGGTCCCCCCAAGGAGCCAGCCCAGGGGTAGGGACGCCCGCAGCAGAGCCGGAGGAAGGAGGAGGAAGGAGAGCAGGTGGAGGAGGGAGAGGAGGAGGACGAGGACTGGGAGCTCACCCAGGGACGTGGTGGCCTTCGATGTGTACAAATCACAGCTGGCGCAGCCTCACGCAGCTCCCCGCACCGCTCCTGGGGCACAGCGTGTGCGCAGTTGGGAACTTCCTGTTCGTCCTGGGCGGGGAGAGCCCTTCAGGCGGAAGTGCCTCCTCTCCCCAGGCCGCTGGCCTGCCGGAGGTCACGGCCCGCGTGCACCGTTATGACCCGCGCTTCCACGCTTGGACGGTGGTGCCCGCGATGCGGGAGGCGCGGGCCCACTTCTGGTGCGGCGCCGTGGGCGAGGGGCTGCTGGCCGTCGGGGGCCTGGGCGCAGGCGGCGAGGCGCTGGCCTCGGTGGAGATGTACGACTTGCGCCGGGACCGCTGGACCGAGGTTGGGGCGCTGCCGCGGGCCCTGCACGGTCACGCGGGGGCCGTCGGGGACCGCGGTGTCGTGTACATCTCCGGGGGCAAGGCCGGGAGAGGCGAGGGCGGCACGAGCAGTTTGAGGGACGTGTACTCCCTGGGGCCCGGGGCCCGAGCCTGGAGCAAGAGGGCGCCTATGGGCACGGCCCGCTTTGGGCATCACATGGCCGCACTTCGAGGCGCGGTCTTTGCCTTTCTGGGGCACTACGAGCCCTTCTCTGAGATTGAGCGCTACGACCCGGGCACGGACCAGTGGACCCGGCTGCGGCCACTTCCCTACGACCGCTTCTGCTATGGGCTGGCGGTGGTGGAGGAGACGGCGCTGCTGCTGGGCGGCGTCAAGTGGCGGGACTCGCGCCAGGTGCCCACCCGCAACGTGGTGGGCTATGACCTCGACCTAGACCGCTGGGAGGACATCGACTGCGCGCTGCCTTGGGCCTGGAGCGGCCTGCAGTGCGCGGTGCTGCAGCTGCCCGAGGGTGCTGACGAGGAGAGGGAGGGCGAGACTGGAGAGAATGGAGAGGCTCCAGATGTCGTGTTGGGCTTAACGGGTTAGTGCAGTCTCAGATCCAAGGAGGAGAAAGTTGTGTCTGAGCAGGTTTACAGAGCAACGAGTGGGCTTTTCCTAAGAATGGGACTCTGGGAACTGAGTGGCTTCTGAAGGTTAAGGGGGCAAATAAGTGTTTGGCCAAAGAGGAACATTTCCCTTTAAGCTGAGAAACGGAGACAGGAGGGGTCAAAATGAAGGACATGTGAACCAGCTTCAGTGAGCTAGTGATTTCTAGAAATTCTCATAATGCTGGGCCAGGGATGGGCTTTCGAAAATAAAATATGACCCTATTTTTCTTCTCATAGGTAAGTGTTTTCCTAGGTGCTAAACAGTGATTACATTTGTGCCAAATTGCCAAAAAAGGGTACTATAAGAAGGTATACACAAGACCCAGAAAATCATTAATTATAAAGGCTGTAATAAATAGTCCAAGAAAATGGCATTATCTGAATAAACAGTGAAGGGATAGTGCCTTGGTTAAATAAGGAGAAATATGATTTTATGGTCTAGAACCCTGGTTCTGCTCTAGTTTAATATAAATATGGAACTGAGAGGGAAAAATGATCTCTACGAAAGCACCTTTTATTTTTTTTATAAAAAAACCTGGCTTACTTTTTTCTGTCCTTCATCCTTACTTACCCCTTATCTGCTTTTGCGCTGAATTTAGGCAGTTTATTGCTTTTAAGTTTTATTTCAGCAACACTTAGCCATAATAATCAGGCTCCTTTGGTTAAGTGGGACATCTAACAGAAAAAAAACTTTATTTCGTTCATCTTTTTTAAATGTTCATTCTGAAGACATGCTGTAGGTTATATTTTAAAAATACAACTTATTTTTGTGCCCCCCTCCTAATTTCCCCAAAGTATCTCAGAGAAAGAAAGAGGAGTCGGTGAAATGGTCAGTTTGCATCAAGGAAATGGGAAACCAGCTTGATTTTACAGGGGTTCAGAGAAGATGCTTATATACTGAACAGATACTTCTGGCTTGTACCACCAGTGGAGTGGCAAAGTTAGGACTCATAACTGGGGAGGGGGGCGAAGGAGTTGGGGGAAGGAGGGATGGTGGCTGTATGATTGCAAGACAAAGAAATATGGTGAGGACTCTCTGAATAAAGTAGGTGCCTTATAAGGATTCATTAAGAGCTGAATTTATTTGACTTCAGTTTACAGTGCTGCCTCTCTCCTAGATTTGAAACTAATGCAATAAAATGTACAGATATATAGTGTTAAAAGGTCTCTTTCATGCTAGGCTAGCCACAAGTCTTTTAAAATTCATTAGTTTAATTGTACCATTTAAAACAACAGAGCTGACTTTACATAAGGAAAAGCTGCTTAGTAGCAACACAGCTAGTCTTTCCATCAACTGCTTGCTGTTTACAGGGCACAGCCTGGCCACTGTATTCATGACACATCCATCAGGTACAGATATTTTTAAGCGAATGTACACATTTAGTCTAGTAAACAACAAGTCTAAATACCTGTAACAAGCACACTTCATTTTAGGACAAGAGGTTTTTTTGTTTGTTTTTTTACATATACAAAATCCCACAAATTTAATATGTGTCAATATCCATGCAGTAAATAAATGTTTTTACAAATAGGTTTTTTAAATGATAAAAATATTACACTGGACCCAAAATTCCATACAAACATGAATACATGATTTCTCATCCATTTTTGACTCAATAGAGGATTACTGAAAATGTGCTGTAGAAAGGCCACTTTCCTGTACAGTTGTGCAAAGTCTGCAAAACGATAGTGATTCAATGGTGGTTTCAAAAGCAAAGAAAAAGATCCCCGCTGTGGAGTTTTTACTTTCTCCTCTACAGCAAAAATATTCACTGGCATACATCTGAACTCTTAGTGATGAAAGTACATTCACTGAGCTGGACAGGCAACAGTATAAAGCTGATTAGAAGTAGAGTTTAGGATATAGAATAGTAAAGGAGGTTTCCTTCCTCCCGAAAAAACAGCAAATTGTGACTTGTACGTTATGCAGCCAGACACTAAAAAGCAGCACAGTCATTGTCATGCTGGGATCACTTTTAAAAAACGAGATGCTCATAAGTGGAAATATATGAAGAGGACGATTTCATAGACTTCATCCACTTTATAGAACAATTCACGAAGCCAGGAAAAAGCTCTATAAATTGTTTCTCTCACATAATGCAATGTAAAAGAACTCTGAATGGCCATCATCCTCTTGCTCCTCAGGAGAGAGGTACATTTTTATTTTGCAACATTGTTTTCTATATTATAACACACATCAACCTGTAATTAAACATATTTCATTTCCCTGCCTGAAGTATAATTCCGTAAGTTTAATTAATGGACTAGTGGGAAAATTGCAAACTAACTGGATAGTTGATTCATTTCAGTTTATACCTTGTAGTTTTTTTAAGAGTTGCAGTTTAAAAACACGAGTTTGGGCTGAAATTTTATATATATACCTGTTAGCTGCCTTTCTGGGTGAGTTAAGTGTGTTTTAAAAAATCCACTCTCAAATTCCTCTGTACACAATCAGCATATCATCACTACAAAAATAAAGGAAGATTTAAACCAAGAAAATAAAGCAGCTCTATCTTCAATTTTGGTCTTTGTTACAAAAACATCTTACAAAGCTTTGCCCTGATACACCGTTAAGTGTCCCCATATATTTGGAATAGTATTCCCATTAACCAGCTTTCACAAGTTAATAGACTATTAAGACGAATATTAGATACCTGAACTTTTCTTATGTTGATGCTCTTCTATTTTGCTTAACTCTTTTAGGCGCATCTACATTTCACAAAAATAAAACTACAGCTTACTTTGTGCAATGTTTAAGAAAATCCTCAGAACATTTTAATAAATATAAAAAAGGTTTAAATTCTTTCCCACCCGCAAGGATGTCTGCACCTGAAAAAATGTGGATTTACTTTTGAAGTCTTCTTTATATAAAATTAACTTAAAGGGAGAAAAGATGACCTTAGATAGAAAACTGCCATTTTGTATTTTTCTACTTGAAGACCACCTGTCTTCAGAATAGTCTGCAAAAGTTCATTTTAAATCATTGAAGACAGTTGTTTTTGCACATGGTAAACATAAGCTGAGCACTAATTGCATATAAAATATACAAATGCTCATTAAAGACAATGGTATTATGACCATATATGGTTTGTTTCATATAGTTTGGTAACACTGAAGTATAGCTTGTCAAGTGTCCCACACACTGACATAAAAACTACCTTATATACTTGTTCAAAGTACCAGAAGGTACCAGATGGACTGAAAACAGAATACACTTACACATGCGTTTCAATGTATGAATGAGTGTGTGTGAGAGAGGAAGTGATTACATCTACTTCAGTAGAAATACTTAATGGGTCATTTGAGGTGGTGTTTTGACAGATATCCAAGAAAAGATCGAGGTACATCTGCTTCCACTGTTGGAATTCTTTAGATGTCAAGTCTGGATTGTCTAGGACTTTATCAATAATGGCCACTTCCCCTTCTCTGGCCTGAAAAGCAAAATGATTCAACAGTTAAGATGTGGACAAACTTATGTTCAAGTTTAAGATAACAAGTTAATAGGCAAAAAATTAAAAAGCCCATAAGAAATGGCTCTGGTATATCCAAACTCAGCTATTTAGATTAAAATTCTAGTGTACTTTTTCTACCCCCAAGGTATGCCTTGTATTGCTTATTCTCTGTGGTTTAGTTTTTCTCATTTATCATCTCTACATACAGAAACCTTCCTCATTCTTTAAGATCCAGTTCAAATGCCTCTAGTTTCCTAAAGCCTTCCTTCAACAGTTGGAAAAAATGTTCTCTCCCTCATTGATGCTCCCATAACACTTTATCGCTGCCATTGAGTGGACTTACCACATTTTGTTTCGAGTTATTTTTATACTGTCTTTTCTCTCCTGCTAGGTGGTCAGTACCTATCTTTTATACGCCCAAGGAAGGGGCAGAGAAATCTAGGGAATGTTCTGCAAGAAGTGGGAAGGCACACTTCTGAACTAGCCAGACTTGAGAGGGAAAGACAACCACAGCTAAGCAGTTGTTCTGGTCCTTGGGGCCAGACAGAGACAGGAGGGCTCTGACCAAGGATGTTTTGTGTCACCCTGTGCTTGGTGAGGGGCCTATTACAATTTCAGGAACCACATACCCAGGGTTGCTTGGGCAGTCATCTTTCTCTAATTGGAGATTTCCATTTCCTGTTCATTTCCCACACTGAAAAGTATAGGGCTCTATAGTTTTTTTGTTTGTTTTGTTTTTACCAATGAGGGGCATTTCTTTTCTTTTATAACAATTAAATTTATTGGAGTGACATTGGTTAATAAGATCATATAGGTTTCATGGGTACAATTCTATGACACATCATCTGTATATTGCATTGTGTTCCCTCCACCCAAAGTCAAATCATCTTCAGAGGGGCATTTATATACAGTGTCTTTTTTTTTTATCATCTTTCTTTGCCCCAGAGAGTAGAGCACAGCATCACATAGCTGGTGACTCATCAATACTCACTAAATGGAAAAAACTCTTTTTTTTTTTGGCGGTGTGTGTGTGTGTGTGTGTGTGTGTGTGTGTGTAGCTACAGAGCATGAAAGATAGGGGTGAGGGGCTGAGAGAAAGAGGGACAGGAGCAGGTCTCTAAGATATGTGAGCCTGACCTGCTTCCAAGTGCCTGCCTAGTGTTCCGACCAGGCAGTTAACTAGTAGATCTGAACATAGGGTGAGGGGTGGAGGGTGGGCCTGTTAGGTGAGAAGGTAAAGATATCTTTGGAGTAGGATTGGTCACCAGAATTATTCTTACAAATATTATAGCTCTTTTGAAAATCTGTAATAACGTCAACAATAAAAAACTTTAAAAAATTGGTCTTAGTTACCAAAGGCCATTAGGTTGTCCCATGGATTTGCAATAGCATTTGCATGAATACCAGCTGAAAGCTAATTGATTGAAAACTTGACTGCCTGTGACAGGAAATGTTTTCAAATAATGCATTTTCTATTTTATCTTTTTGTTACTCATTTATGTTTCAAAATCACAAAACCTCAGCAACATACTATTTATCTGAAATATTTCCCAAAGGAGTCCTTTTGCTCTGTAGGATAGTTTTTTTCTCCTGTTTTTGATTTTCAAGGCTGCAGGGCCTGCTTGCAGGAGAGTTTGTGCGGAAGGCCCCCCTCCCCCCCCCACACTGAGAGTGAGAGTGTTTACTTTTTTGCCTCCTTGGACTTCCTGCCTCTCTGCTCCCCTCTCCTCCCCTCCTCCTCCCCATTTGGTGGGTGGCATAATAACAAGACCAGAGACAATGTAAGAACTTGTGGAAATGTATGCTAGGAAAATAACGTGCGAATTGGGAATTGATAGTGTAAAGAGAACAATTATAGAATTTCTACAGAGAGCATGAATCACTATGGCTTCAGGAAATAGTCCTGAACTATCACAAACCCTTTTAGCACCCACTACTGCATTCCGCACGCATGCTGTGTTCTTCTAATAGCTATATTACTTATACTACATGGCGCATTTGTCTTAGGAAAACGAAAGACAGTAATAACACCAGCCTCGCAGTTTTGGAAAAAATAATGAATCATATCTTGTTTTCTCCTAGAACGAAGTCACATAACATTTACTCAGTGCTTTGAGACGTTAATGAAAAAGTTTAGATTATTTCCTCTTTACTAATACACTTATTATGCTATAAGAACAGCTTAGCTTCAGCTTCTTCCTATTTACCTATTCCCCACCCCCTTCCCATTGTCTAT